AGGCTACTGCAGGCATGTGGCTGCATTTCCAGAATCAAAAGTGAATGTCTGTTCAGTTGCTTATCGGTTCAGTCTATGCAGCTTAGACTGACCTTCGTGGATTGAATTGATTCAGCCTTGGGCTTTTTGACTGTGTATACTTAGCCCAAAAGATTGTTAACACAGATCCTAGATTATGTAGATTGATTACTGCAGAGCAAAGCTCTTGTAAGAGCTGAAGGTATTGCTTGTATAGGAATGTCCAATGCAACTTACTAAACTACCTTTCGCTGTTTTATGTACAAATTTATTGTAGGATACACAATGCATGGAGAACAGTGGTCCCAACCATGACTGGAGCCTTTGGATGCTGTTGTAACAAATAGTTCAGATATTAAACTTTCCTTAAAATCCTTTTCCATCTTCCTTCTGCCTAAGGTCGTAAAGCCTACAAGTCAAAGCCAAAAATTTTCTACTTGAATTTATTTTAGAACTTACTCAATGGATGCAGCATTTCTCAGACATGCTCTTCGTAAAATTCTTCCTATTTTGTAACATTTAAATGCATCAATAATGTCAGCTTTTTTGTTTTTTTTACAGAATAGAGTATGGCAAAGAGACCAGCGAGACATGAGAGCAATCCAGCCTGATGCAGGATATTATAATGATGTAAGTAAATCCTTTCTCCATGTTGAAATTTTGTTGTGGACAATAATACTCTTCTCCCTATTCCACCTGTGTAAAACCAAGCTCATTTTTGCCTTTGAGAGGTGACAAAAATGTTTGTATCATTCTGTATTACCCTGCACTAAAGAAATGTTTGTCCCAGGAAGAAAGCCCTGGTGGCTTGGTGGGCTTGCTCAGTTCCTCGGAGTTACTCAGTTCTCTTTTAGCAGAACAGGCTTGCTAAAGCCCATGTTGAAAGGTTGTTTGCATTTGAGATGATGGCTTAGCATGTGTCCATGAGATGGAAAAGAAAAATCTTCTAAACAGACATTTTCAGTTTCACTGATTTTATTTCTTTTCAGAAATAAGGTTTTTGGACTTTCCTGCTTTTTCATTGTTTCCAATGGTACAGGTTGCAACTGTAACTAATGTTGTTATTTCTTTCTTTTGCAGCTTGTCCCTCCAATTGGAATGCTGAATAACCCTATGAATGCTGTAACAACAAAATTTGTTAGGACATCTACCAATAAAGTAAAATGTCCAGTGTTTGTTGTCAGGGTAAGTATTGTGTTGGCTTTGCTTAGAGAGTTATTCTCCAGCTTGCTAACTTATAATCAACAGCATACTTCTTTTTTAAAAGCTAGATAAAAAAATAAAAACTGATTAGCAGGGAAAAGGTATGTGCACTTAAAGGCTTTCAGAAACAAAACTGGTGTGCCTCACCTCTTTCACAGATACCTTGGACAATGAGATGTTAATATAAGTCAGTTTTATTTTTGTCATTTGCATGGTCTGATTTCCTCAAAGCCATTTTTGTCAGTGTTCCTAAATACTGACTTCAATGGCCATCTAAAGGCAAAAGAGGCTATCTAAAGGCAGCATTCTTATAGGCTCAGCAGTGCTACTCTGGCTAGTGCTACGGAAGAAAGAGACTTGGGGGTCATCATTGACCACAAGATGAACATGAGCCTTCAATGTGATGCTGCGGCTAGTAAAGCAACCAAAATGCTGACTTGCATCCATAGATGCTTCTCGAGCAGATCCCAGGACATCATTCTCCCCTTGTACTCAGCCTTGGTGAGGCCGCAGCTGGAGTATTGCGTCCAGGTTTGAGCTCCGCAATTCAAAAAGGATGTGGAGAAGCTTGAGAGAGTCCAGAGAAGAGCCACACGCATGATCTGAGGTCAAGAAAACAGACCTTACAACGACAGGCTGAGAGCTATGGGGCTATTTAGTCTGGAAAAGCGCAGGCTCAGGGGTGACCTGATGGCCACCTATAAGTTTATCAGAGGTGACCACCAGTATCTGGGGAAGCATTTGTTCACCAGAGCGCCCCAAGGGATGATGAGGCTGAACGGTTATAAACTCCTGCAAGACCGTTTCAGGCTGGACATAAGGAAGAATTTCTTTACTGTCCAAGCCCCCAAGGTCTGGAACAGCTTTCCATCAGAGGTGGTTCAAGCACCTACATTGAACACCTTCAAGAGCAAATTGGATGCTTATCTTGCTGGGATCCTATGACCCCAGCTGACCCCCTGCCCTTTGGGCAGGGGGCTGGACTTGATGATCTTTCGAGGTCCCTTCCAGCTCTAAAGTCTATGAAATCTATGAGGTAGTTTGGTCCCCATGTCTATTTCACCCTTGCAGTCTGTCAGACTTCCAGCAAGTGTATCATGGTACTAAGTAATAGTGTGTTTGCTGTGGGCAGTTGCCCAGTCATCTGTATGAAATGGGTCTTGTGACTCCAATTTATTTCTAATGGATATGGCTTGGTCTAGACTGTCTTGGACTGGATTTGAGCTGGTATCATAGGTGTCAAAAGACCTAAGACCTATGCTGTATGCCTGTCCTTTAAATGTTTTTAGCTTGCCTTCCACTGCAGTCAGAAAAATGTTCTAGATACCCAGCCAACTCAGTGGTACAGAAGAAAAAGATCATGTCACAACAATGCTCATTCAACTGTTCTTTTGTAGTGGACTCCTGAAGGGAGACGTTTGGTTACTGGGGCTTCTAGTGGAGAGTTTACGCTATGGAATGGACTCACTTTCAACTTTGAAACAATATTACAAGTAAGTGTCTCTGGAGAGTTGTCTGCATCTTCCTGAATGTTCTAGCAAATGAATTTCCACTTACCTATCATGGGCTGGTGTTCTGAATGCAGAACATCCCTTTATTCTGATCCTGATCTGACCCTGACTCCTATGCTAATCTTGGGCATTTGATTTAATTTTTCTAGCTCCATCTCAATGTTTGTAAGGATACTTGCTCCTGTTAAAATACCAGGACACAAGTATTTTGTTGTGATACTTTTTTTTAGACCAACTGTATAGTTGAAAGAGCTGTTGGACGCTTTCTGGCACCATGTGCCCTTGCTTAGCTCATATTGAGAGGATTTATAATTTTATAAAGTGTTCATGAGACAAAATACAAGTAATATTCTTGTGAAGAGCAAACAGTTGTTTTGCCTTGTGCACATGAGAATAGAAGATGTTTTTTCTCTAAAGAGCTGGCAGTTCCAACTAGTCTTGATTTGTTTAGATTCCTCTGTCATAATTGGTAAATATGAACTTGTCTGCTAGAAATTCTGTTTCTGACTTCGCAGGCTCACGACAGCCCTGTAAGGGCCATGACTTGGTCACACAATGATATGTGGATGCTGACAGCAGACCACGGAGGATATGTGAAATACTGGCAGTCCAACATGAACAACGTCAAGATGTTCCAGGCACATAAGGAGGCGATTAGAGAGGCCAGGTTTATACACAATATACCATTTTCTGTAGTACCTATTGCCATGATTAGACTGTTCTCTAAATGTATTCTGGGTGCTGAAGTGCATGGGCTCTGTCAGATTCTGGGAAATTTCCTGCACTACATAAACACAATATTTTCTTTTGTTTCCACATTCTCACCGTTTTGCTGGCACCTTTCTGAAGTAGTATTGTCCCAGTATCCGCCTCTGCAATATGTTAGAGATGTATTTGTCTGCCGCATTTTGCACTGGTATTCTTTTCATTTATATATGGTGACAATGTGTATCAGTTATTCCTTTTTATACATACTGTGTAAGACTACAATTTCATTCCAAATAAAGAATTCAGTCTTTAATAATCTAACTGAATAAAATATAAAGCCTTCAGAAATAAAACAGCTGCATAGTTCTCACAAAAGAATAAAAAGCTAAATAAAGTGAAGAACTGCTTGGCTTGGTGAGGCCAAGGTTTCCACTAATACTAAAGACCCACACAGATTGCCACATCCAGAAGTCTAATGTTAATATTGAATGGGTTCTTCAAGCTTTGAAAATGTAAGCATACCATTGAAAAGAAGACTGTAGGACATTCTCCTGGTTCAGTGTTGATGCCTCAGTTGTGAAAATGTCTATTTTATATGACAAATGGAATTTTAAGTGATATTTTCTCAGTAAGATGTAAATGAAAGATGTTTTCTAAAGTAAACCTGCATATAATCTTTTAGTAAGAAATGTAAATAGAAGAAATGCTTTTAAAGTAAGCCTGAAGAGGAGCTGCAGACCCAAATAAAGCTAAAGCAGTGTTTCTTCAGTTGTGGTGCTGGCCTTTCATGGTAAGAGGTTCACTGCCACAGAAACACTTTTTCCATTGAGGTCCCCATTTTCCTCTTTGATAAGATGCAGGATTTCTTGGCAGAGTTTGATTACAAATAATACTTACATTGGAAGCAGTTTTTGGTTGGTGTATCATGTTCATTCTCCAATATTTTAAGCCCCCTCCTGGTCATAAAGATCTGGGACTTCAAGGAGGCTGCTTTGGAATTAACTGAACAGACTCTTCTTTGGTCTTTTACTGCATCAAAAGAGGAATTGGCTGCCTGTCAGTTGCTGGAGATGTTCTGACCCAAATCACATGGTTAAACTCCTACCCTCTTCCCAGTGGCTTTCATCAAGCAATATTGATCTGTATGGAAGCTTCTTCTGTGGCTGTAGACTCCCTCTATTCCTTCTCATATGAGTAGAACATGCTTTATATAAGAATTTTTTAACACCAATTCAGCTGGAAGTAACAGTAGCCTCTTTCTTTTCTCCATCACCATTTAATTTTTGCTTCTTTTGCTGCAAGGCATCTGTGGCTGAAGAGGAATTTTGCTCTTGGTGCCATATCCCTATGCTTCTGCACAGGGTCACTTTCTGTATACAGCTGTCAACAGTATGGAAATCTAGGGCTCCATTTCCTGTTAAGTCTTATATATGTTGCTGTTGGTCCCATGGTACTGCTGGATGCATTCATAGGTAGGGTAGAACTAAGTATAATTTTCTATTTTTTTTTTTTCTATTTGGTTGGGAACTCAAGTGCAGGAGTAAATCATATGCTAAATTCAGAGTATTGTGCAGACACTGTGTTCACTTAACACAGGGTCCCTATGTTCAAATGCATCCGTCAGTGTATAACACCTTACAGTTTAATTTTGCCCTGTCTGAGAAGCATAGATAATCTGCTAAATGCTGACTTCTTTCCCCTGCTGTGTGTCTTCATGTAACAGTTTCTCACCCACGGATAATAAATTTGCTACATGCTCTGATGACGGCACTGTTAGAATCTGGGACTTTCTACGTTGCCATGAGGAGAGAATTCTTCGAGGTATGTGTACAAATAGTACTGATTGGGGTATTTCAAGAGGGGGAAAGCTTCTTGTAATTAAGTTTTTCACAATACAGAAGTACCAGCTTATGTCCATTTTTGTATAACATCCCTACTTTAAATCTTTCAAGCATATCTTTCAGTTGGTGACTGCTGCTATTGGTATCTCCCAGTATACAGCTAGACAGGCATTCAGATTTACATTATTTTATGTCAACACCTGTTTAAACTCTAGCTGTTGGATATAAGGATGCTTTTTCCTACTCCTAATGTTGGAAGAAGCAGCAGTTAGAAAGGCAGATATATTCTTAATCTTTCTTCGGTGTTTAATCATTAACATTTGCTCAAGAACACACATGCTCATGCAGAATGTGCTGTTTTTCAAGGAAGTAACTCTGGAGGCACTCATTTCACTCAGGTTTATTCAAAGGGAAATCGGTCCTGTTTATTAATTCCAAAGGGAAACATGACATTAGATGTGCAAAACAGTTGCACTTTGACCCCACCAAACACTACACACCGGAAATGTATTGGCTTCTGAATTCCATAATTGCTGTCCAGCATCTACATGAAGAAACTTCTGCTTCTTTTCTTCTAGTTACTGTTCAGGGGTCTTCTACCTCCTTTTCCTCAACCATGTCAATTAGTGGACATAATGTATATGAACTATCCTTTCTCTTGGAAAATGTCACCTAGTTTTGACTGTGTCTGATAATTTTCACATGTTGGAATGCTACATAATATAGTACAGTTAATGGAATAAAACCATGAAGGGCTGTATAAACACAGCTTTCATACCATGGTATATTGACAGGATGCTGGCATCCAGGGAGACAACAGAGAAAGATGCACCTTGAAATGCTAGGATTTTTGGCCTCAGTGTCTGTACTCATTTGACACTTTTTTCTGGTGAAAAGGATTTAAAAATCTTAAGTTTCATACCTGGACCTGCACTGTTTTTTTTTTTTTATAGAGCAGAAGGCTCCTACTTCTCTTGGCTTTTAGACTCTGTTCTAATGGTACAGATTTGTTATTTCTTTGAATTTCATTATTATGAAGAAACATCAGGCTCCCATAACCTTGCAGTGATTTTTTTTTTTCCCAGCAAAAAGACATTGACTGCAGGAGGCTCCATTCCTCTCAGGAGTTAGCAAACATTTCTAGGACATATCACTTCTATTTTTTTAACCCAAAGCATCCATTGGTTTGGAGACTTGTGATGGGTGCTGTATAAAGGATCAAATTCTGGATTGACTTATACCCAATGCAATCACTCTTAACTGTTCAGTTAGATTATACAGCAGAAACAAGGACGGTATTACTATAGAGTTTAGTCTAGCATGTGAGTCGTAATAAACTTCTTAACTCTTACTTATCATCCTTCTTGCATGGAGGTCTCATAAACAAGGCAACAAAAGCATTTCAGACTTGTATGTAATGATACTTGCACCGGATTTCTTTCTTTTATGTGAAGGTTGGGATTGTATGGTCATTTCATAAATAGAATTATTTTTTATTTTTTCAATACATCATAACTGCTTTTTGTAATCTATCATATTTATATTTTTAAATAGTTCTATTAAGCAAATAACATTTACTGTATAATTTTATTTAGTGTATGTATAGTGCACTTTTACAAAGCTGATGTAAATGAGCAGTATTGTCAGGTCTTCACAACCCAATATGCAGATTCTCACAAGAACTTTTGTTGCTGTTTACTAAACAACAACAGAAAACGCTTTTAAAAATGATGAGAAAATAAACTTTTTTTGGCAGGGGGAGGGTAAGGAGGAAGCTGGACTTTTCATTGTCCAGTTCTCCTACTCCAGTAACCAATTTAAAAGAATTGCATGAGAGCTTCCTTTCCTGGGTAGAAAAAGATGCATCATGATCTTCAGGGTGGCAGCTGAAATTCTTTTAGCTACTACTATACCAAGTTAATCTTCAGACCTTTCTTCATCTTCTCCCTACACATTGAGCTTTTGTGCTTTATTTAGGATGATTGCCAGGAAAAATATTGGCTTATTACAGAATTTAAAAGCTTCTGCCGTTGGTCCTGGAAGGTTCCAGTAAGCTGCAGGTTGTAATGTTAGAGTTAATTAAAAATGACAGAATGCCTCAAACAAAGCTTCTCTTATGTAGTCATATCTGTATATACTGATGCTGTACTTCCTTTTCTCACACAAGCCATTTCTTAAGTGCTCCAGTAAATACTAATGCTTTTAAAGTTCAGCATAACTAAAGTAGAGCCTCAGGGTAGTTTAGGCTCAAAACTGACTTTTAAAATTTTACCCTATCCTCCCAGCTAATAAATATCTATATATAAAAGTCAATGCAACCACTCCTTAATTTTCAAAAAATGTCACAACTGTGAGAGACTATTTCCTTTACTCCTTCCTACTGATTCTGTAGCAACAAGCTCATGAATGGTATTTGAAAACAAGTCAGATGATCTTTTGTAATTCACTGCCATGTCATTAAATCAGGGTTCCTGTTTACTCCTACCCTAGCAGTACCAAAGTGCAAAGGCAGTGGACCAAACTCTTGCTTGGTAAGATAATAAAATTTCTTGGGACTTGATATGTTTTCTGTATTACAGTAGACAGGAGCAGCTTACTCTCCACTTTGGGTGGAGAAAGGCTTCAGGTTGACCTCTAGAAACATTTCTAGCCAGTTCTAAGTGGTGTTAAACTGTCTGTTAATTGGGAATGGGGGAGCACAAGATTGATTGGGGAGGAAAGAAGGATGGAGTTCTTCAGTCTCCGGAGGAGCATTTGCAGTATTCCAGTGATTATTTTTTTTCTGACATAATTTAAGATAGTGACCTGCTTGTGCCTTGCTTTGCTTTTCTTACAACGTAATGTTTTAAGTATTTTTTTTGTTTACTCTAACCCAGATTCACCTAGTTTAAATTGCTCAGCTTTCACTCTTTGAATGTCATTCTTTCCCCATTTCTTCAATCATAGTAGTCTTTCAAAACTGTTTTTTTTTTTTTACATTAAAAATTAATCTTTTAAAAAGTCTTTTCAGTATTATGTCCTTTTTGCTTATGGCATATAATAAAGGAACAGTATTTCCCTTTACAGGCCACCTTTTATGTAACTTATTTGTAAGGGGACTTTTATGTTGAAAACGCCATGAATGAATAGCAGTACAGCAGCATTTTAGGTAACGGTCCTTTGTTTTCCGTTCACTTATGTGTTGAACTTCCACTTGTCCATTTTCTTCTGTTTTACCCTAAACCAAAGCTGGGCTTGAGCAGTCCTGACCCATATTAAATAATAGTGTCAATTTTTTTGAAATGGCAACCATGTAACATGAACTAGTAGAAAACTAAAATGGACTTGTTTAGTGTCAGCACAGTTTTGACACAATGTATACTTTGTATAAACATAGTTTTGATAAGAAGCAAGTGGTGCGAAGATAACTATGAAAGACCAGGAAGGGGTGGGGGAAGGGAGGGTGTTGTATTACTTTTTAAGGTCTTTGCAAAGACATTTCTAATGATGAGAAATAAACAAAAATGAGAAAAAGCCTTCAGAAATACAAGATTTGTGTTTCTGGCATCCCATTTCCTTCTGACCACTTCTATGTTTGCACTTCTGTAGCAGTGTTATATATGAAGGGACATTATCTCTAGTAGAGTTTTGAAGACGTATTTATTTATTTGTTTAAAGATTCAGGTGGTCACTTATCTGATGTCTTAAATCTCAGGATACTTGTCTTGGACTGATATGGCAAAAAAGACATATAAACACCTTTCATTGTAAAACTGCCATTTCTAAATTGCACCCAGCAGTATGAACAGAAATCAGTGGTAACGACATGCCATTTTTCTTGAATTCTTAGATCCTACATTACTGTAGAATATGTTGCCATTGTATATAATGTGAGCCATCCATAGTTTTCAGTATGCTTGAATGTGTCTCTTCAGTCTCTTCTTTTTAAACAAGATTATTCTGTCTTTTTTAATAGGGACTCTTAAAGACTTATCAAATAGGTTTTAGTCATTGTAAAGGGTTTTACTCCTTGTAAAAGTCCACCCTATCTGGGACATCCAGATTTGGATTGAGTTGTGACATGAAGAGTGGATGCAGTCATTTGTCAAACTTTAAGGGGTTTTGTTTTGGTTTGTTTTTTTTAAAATCTTAAGCCAAAAGCAAATTAGGAAACAAAGCTTTTCCACTGCTTTAAAGTTTCTGGAGCCATAATCCAGAAAAGAATAAATGCTTCATTGAACACCTTTTCTCCTTCTCTGGGTTTTTAATTTTTTATTCATTTTTAAAGAGCCATATAGCCATTTTTGACTTTGTGTGGTGTTCTGATTGGGTCTCTGCTTGTGATGGTGTAAGTAGTCATAAAAGTACTGGTCTGAGAAATTTACGTATATGCTTCCTTATATTCCCTACAAATGCACTTCAAAACATCCTAGCATTAAGATATGATTCATTTGACTAAGATTCAAGAGCAAGTACCAGGCAGACTATTGTGCACATAGTTGAAATGCAGACTGACATGGTCATGCATGCATTTCTTATTTTGGAGGGAGGCAGGGGAAGAGCAATTCCAGATTTTCCATGCGTTTTACTGTATCAGGCACTAGGCAACTTTTAGTATTCACATGTCCCCATAAAAATAGAATGAATGTAAGAGCTACAATACTATGTTAGACCAAGGATCCATCTAGCCCAGTATCCTGTTGCTGACGGTGGTAGGGGTGGATGCTTTAGAGGAAGATATTGAACCAAATATATCTGGAGCAATCTATCCCCTATTCATTGTTCTCCCTGGCATCCACCATTATTGGAGATTACAGCAGAAACCTTTCTAACTGTTCTGTTCAAAAGTCATTAATAGATCTATCATCTATTCATCCATGAATTTTTTCAGCCCCTCCCCCCCCCTTTTTGAACCTGGCCATTCTGTCTGCCTCCACCACCTCCTGTGACAGTGAACTGCACCCATTTAACTATATGTTGCATTAAAAAGTACTTTTATTA